AGGAAGCCTCGAGCGGCGTCATCCGAGCTATCTAACCACGGGACTTGGTTCTGCGGGCGAGACAACAAAAGGCTCTTGAAACATGCATTCCCCAACTTTGGGTGTTTACAATCGGGATAAAACGTTTTGATGCATTACTTGTATGAAATTTAGTATGTATCGATTAAAGAGTTATGAAAATCTTACACTGAAAGTGTTCGCATGTTCTGAACATGTCTACTGCGCGTTACTGTAATGTCATCTTTAAATCTTCAAAAACTTCCAAATAATAATGTAAATTGTGTTTTATTATTATTTATTTAGTGTTCTGTCTGACGACAGGTCCATATGAACAGGATCCTTTTTCCATCCTTTTCTCGGACTGGGACCTGTTCATAAACGTTCTTGGCAGATGATCCAGAAGTGGTTTGCCATTGCCTTCTTCTGTGTGTGAATGGAGTAATTGTTGGGAGGCCACGGAGGAAAACTCCGTGTTGCCTAGACCACGGCCTCGCCCATGATTTTCCTCAGTCTTCAGTAAAATGACGGTATAGTGCCTTTAAACATGCCACATCGTCAATTTCCCAATCATTCTTTATCGTCTTATTTTATCCAATTCTAATGCAACTAAAGTAACGATCTGCATTGCAATTAAATGTCCTAGCAGAATCTGCCTGTCTTTAGTATGGGAGAAGTAGAAGAAACTTTTTTCTCTTTCAGAATGCGTGAGTGCCCTCCGTCAACGGGATTAACTTCATTCTAACGCAGGATCTGTCGTCTGATGTCATCCGCGCATGGTCTGAGTGGGTAAGTAGAAGGTTATTTAACTGTAACTCTACACGTGATAAGTCAGACAGAAAAATTAACAGGAAAAATGAACAAACACATTCTTTGCAGTTCAAGGATGGGCAAAATACAGCACGTGAAATATTCGGCCCAATTATCAGCAGTCTTCATTAACTCCTTGGGGTGTCGTGATTTTCTTCAGCCCTTGTAGATGAATTATAACGTCTTCAGTCAGACCATTAACATCGCCTCAGAAATATTTTAGTATTTACTATTCATGATTAAAAACTATCGACAATCGTCAGTTGAAACAGCATTATTAGATAACTTAAGAAATAATCAGTTACGCTTGAATTGGGCAATCAGATTTTGCCAGGTACTTCCCATACTGCAGCAGACAATAGACGGCATTGGACAAACTAACCGAACCGTACAAAGGTCTTTTGATCCTCCCAGGAAATTGGTTTCCCGCCACTGTTCGCGTAGTGACTCATTTGGGTCAAGGGACAGACCGAGCCATTAAACAAACTATTCATATTACACTGCCTTTTCAGCAGCTGATAGTTACCCATGTGGTCAAGGAATTCCCTGAAAATTGTAAAGAAACGAAGTTCATGCCTCTCTTCAAAATGTTTTTACATAGACAATCAATCTATGAAAGTCCATTGAATTAAATTGTATCCAAGCACCTACATCACTGCAATTGATAAACTCAAGTCTATAATGTGTCCATAGTCTTTTGAGAAGTGTCCCCAAAGTATGATTACAAAAGTCGTAATGTGCTCTTATATTGTGTTTAGTTAGGGAACTACGTTACTAATCCTTTAAAGCCCAATGGTAACTATACGCACCACCTGCCATAACAATCGTCTCTATATTTTGTATGTATTGGTTTCGTGTGAATGTTACTGTGAACAATGATTATTTCCTAAAACAACATTAACCACGTAATCTTCTTAGTGGCTACGCGTTGTGTTTTCTTTGCGGTACGGACTGATTTGTTATTTTCGTATCTGAATATTATTTGGACGAGCTTCGGTTTCGGAGGATTGCAATGATATTTTGCTACAAGTTTAGAAATGTCTTGTAAGTTATTACACCAGTTCATTCGTGACATCAGGAAATAATTCCTTGCTTCTTGAATTCTCTCTGCCGTCTGCAGATTGTACATTTCACTTCCCGGCATTGAAGGCCGCCTCGTCAGCTGGCTTTTATTTCCGGCTAGGTCAGTAGGTGTATTTAGGTTCTGATCCACATAGCACACCCAGCAAGAAGTTGAAATCGCATCTCAAGTCATCCCATCGACCTGTATATAGGACAGATATATTTAGCCGCCTCGCACAACGACAAATGCACAGTACACAGTTCGGTATAATAAACGGGCTTGTCGAACAGTAGTAAGAACGTCAAAATTATTTATTCATTTATTATTAACTGCAATAAGACACAACAAAATAATGCGAAAATTGATGTGGTATTAATAACTAAAATTGCATAAATTTAACAGTGACTTGAAATCAAAACTTTTAAAGCTAACAATAGCTATTATCCGTTTTAAACCAGTGAAAGAAAAACAGTTTCGCTTACTGTCCACAAATTTATAAATTCTTATCTGCAGTCCTCGACAAAGACACTAACAACAAATGCAGCACGCGATGACGAGAAGGTTACCTACCTCTGGACCAATACATTACACCCCTCCTCTCGTTTTTTTTCTTGAGACTAGAAGATTAATCAGTCAGTTAACTGAAGTCAGCCTTACCTCTAAGATGCTGACGAGGAATATGAAGTACGGAGGTTGCCAGGATCGAAGAAACGGTAACAGCGACTTCTGTCCCTCGGCAGACGACAGCTTCCTGGACCTCAGTCCCCTCTGTTCTTCATCATGAAGGCACTCGCAGACAGGCAGATTCTCCGGAGAAATCAGCTGTACTAGTATTTCGGCAGCTCCATCACTAGCTTCCATCTGGCCCGCCCACTGATCCACTCAAAGGTTACAATGAACTCTGATGGCTTCGTCACACCAACATTCATCCCCGTGAATGAACTGCCCTGTTGTTACATGTATATTCTATTTTGGACAGGATGAATAGAGGCGTGGAAGCATCAGTTCCGTGTTTCTTGTTCTCACAACCTCCCAACACAAGCACACGGAATCACATGTACGAAGCTGACGTCATCTGATGATTCTGAAGAATGATAAATGCAATGATGCTTCAAGTAAATATTGTGAACGGAATGGCAAGCTGGCTGCTCACAGACGGCACAGACTTCTCGTTGTGAGGGTTATTCTAAATCTGAAGCAGAAGATGAGTCTTGTAACGTCGTGTTTTTACAGTCGTGTGTGATGCATCTCTTTTCTGTCATTTTAGTCAGAGGTACAGAATGTCCCATAAGTCTAGAACCATTATTTCTCTGGCAGTTGCCGTGACACAGAACAAAGATTAAAGTTGGGAACGTTGAGATCCCTTTAAGTGGACCACTTTTTGTGTTAAAGACGTATACAGAAAGGAGTGTTTTTTACGTAGCTTGTTTAATGACGTCGTTTCTATTTATACATATCTTATTTAGAGTCTAATTGAATGCATGGTAGACTGCAAAGGTTCGGGTATGAACATGTCGTGGCCTACTTGAATGTATTGTCCTAGCATTCGCCTAGAGGGACTGAGGAATACCACTGGAAAGCTGTTTCCTCCCAGTGACGTAGGGTGATGATCACTGATGGAATGTGAAGCAGCTGGAGTCATACTGTACGCGTTCTGACATAAAGTAGGCTTTTACCAATTCGCTACTGACTTTATTCAGAAAATTCGTCTTATCATTGAACATCTTACAGTCTACATTTCAGAAATTGTAATTAATTGTTGAATGCCAGGACATGATGTTCGTCTTCAGCTTTCGTGAAAGACTCTAGAAATGTGTTCGAATTCAGAATTAGATTTTGGAGTTACGTATTCTTTAAAAATCGGCAGGACTCCTGTCGCAAGGCGTCTACCTACGCAGGACAACACGACACAGAAGGACTCGGACAAACATTCCGGTCTGGAGCTAAATTCGAACCCGCGTTACCAATGTTGGAGCGGTCTAAGACTGTACGCGTTGTAGAAGACGTGGTCACTGACCGGCCGAGACCCACCAAGAGCAATTTTAATTTCACAGTCTTTGTCACATTTCAAAGACAATGAACCCAGAAACTCCGTCCAGATTCTAGTCGTTGAAAGGAAACTTATTATTTCAGATCCACATTTCTGACTGACGAAGGAAGACAACTCCACAAGCATCCGTTTGCCTTGTGAATAGTATATACATATCTCATAACATCCTGGTACTGCAGACGCCAAGTTAATTCATTTTCTGAATAGCGCGCCCGCGTACTTTGACAATACATTTGCTTCCTTAATCATGTATCTGTTTGTTGCTACAGCGTTTCTGTTGAGTGCAGAAACAGAATTAGATCTCTGTTACAGGCATTAGTTTGATTTATATCCGATCATACGCCGATGTGATATCTTTCAAGAGTAAACGCTAATGGTGAAGTTTTTTTTTGTAGTGTTCTGTCTGACGACAGGTCCATATGAACAGGATCCTTCCATCCTTTTCTCGGACTGGAACCTGTTCATATACGTTCTTAGCAGATGATCCAGAAGTGTTTTGCCATTGCCTTCTTCTGTGTGTGTGAATGGAGTAATTGTTGGGATGCCACGGAGAAACCGGGGAAGCCCCCGGAGGAAAACTCCGTGTTGTTGCCTAGACCACGGCCTTGCCCAACACAAGTTATAAATTCGGGCACCGCCGGGAATCGAACCCGAGACCCCAGGATTACAAGGCCAGCGTTCTAACCGCTAGACCGAAGTGCATATTTCTCGCTAGTTGCCATGGACCTGTAAATTTCTGCTGATAGTTGCCAGACGTATCTTAAAAAACTTACCGCTAATGCCAAGTCTCACTTCACGTTGTGGGGTTGTTTGAAAAAATACGATCCCACTAAATCCCATGCGCCTAACGGACACGTAAATACGAAATTCCCGCTGGCTCTGGTTTTGTTATAAGCAATGAAACGTAATTTACGTCTTCATCGCTTTGAGGCCCTCACATCCTAACCACAACAAATATAAATTATCCTATGATTCGACGCTGCATTGCCTAATCAACTGATATAGCGTCGTTATATCAACCAACAAATAAAACATTTTTTTGTGGCCGGGAAAAACGAGTAACTGTTTTGGAATTCTGGTCTATCGATTTAATGGCGACTCCGTGTCTGCTGTACTTTGACTAGAATACATGGCCGAACGTCGTGGCCGAGTGGTTGCCACTCGGGAGGTCCCAGGTTGAAATTTCCGCCCGGAGACCGGCTATCTTCAAGGGGGGTTTTCGTGGTTTTCCTTAGTTCATCCAGAGGGGGATAGTACCATAAATTAGGCCACGACCGCTTTCTTCACATCCTTTTTTAATTAATTATTTACTGTCATTCGACGCTGCTGGAAAAACGTAATTTTATAAACTGTAAGTAAACAGACTGCATGACCCGTTGAATACTTTTCATTTCCAAAATTTATGGTAGGCCAAAATAAGTGATGATGACACAGCAGTCAAATTGATCGCAGGTTTTAATCTCGCGTGAGATAAGTGTGTTTCTTTTCTTTTTATGTGCATTGTCCTATATAGGCCCCTTGATGGGCTGGAGGTTCAGAAGCAGAATCTGGCCTTTGCCAGTGACCCGTTGACATTCAGACTAAAGCTGTATAGTGTGGGGGCGGGGTCTGCCTTGAAAGGTCGACGCTGCAGAATTTTTGGAAATTTGTCAAATTACCTTGCAGACATTTCCACGTAGCGGAACGAATTGTTCCCTTTCGATTTATAAGCCTGGCGTACTTTGCAGTTAGTTTCGAGGTCGGTGCTTCGATGATAATGCTTGCGATTTCGAAAGGATGTGAATCGAAATGATTCCAGAATAACCACCCTTTAGACTGGGTCACAAACGTCTCTATAACACAAGGCTGTTAGAACTATCCACTGCACGCAACGTTGTTATGGATGTATGGTCATCACTGGGTGTCTATAAACTGCCTGTCCGTATATTTTGTCAATAATCGTTATTATCAAAATTATTTAATTTTACGGACGGTAGAAATAGTCCCATCACGATTTTAATGAACAAACTTGAGTCAAAATGTGAGATATGAGGTTTCCATCACGTGAATGTCTATGGTGTGGTCTTTTGGGTTGTGACGTGACTAAACTTGTAGTTGGTTGCCAACGTTCTGGAGGAACATTCATCCGAAACGTTTGCAAACATGTAAAATACTCCACGGCTTCAACCCAGAAGACGTATCACTTAAAATAACATTTCCGTATGTCTACGACTGAGGTTACTTCATTACGTATATTACTAACGACGCACATGTGATCTAATTAAGTCTGATATTTACGCGATGTCCACTCGCCGTACATCGTTGTCTAAGTAACACAAAGATTCGCTTTTCTTAACTCTTTGATTCCGATCCTCGTCTAAATATCAATATTTCAGTCCGTACCGCAAAGAGAACACGACACTTTTCCATTGCAAAGATCATCTTGTTACTGCTGTTAAAGAAGTAATCGCTGTTTACACTGAGAACTATAATAAATGCAAAATGAAAAGTTATTGATTGTTGAATCAGGTGAGACGAAAAATTTCCACAGCTTCTAAACAGTTCTAGCGCGAAGTTACTTAAACACGTACGAGAATTTCGTACCGCAAAGAAAGCACAACGCATCTGCATGAGAAAGATCCGATAATCACACGCAGACCATAAATATTACACCTTGGGCGAAATGCAGAGTTATTTGATGTAAAAAGCAGTTGGTATGCATACAACAAGACAGGAAGGCACAAATTTATACACTGCTAGAGACACGAGACAGTGAGCGTCCTGCCAGATCGAATTACCTGACCCGAAATAAAATTGTATTTGCGAGTCCATTTCACAGTAGTCTGTGACGTCAGAGAACCATTCGGTCGACTTCATTTTTGTTTACAAAAAAGACCTGCAGAACAAAAGAGTCAGTCGCTTTTGTTTGTGATGGTACACCGACCAAAAAAAATAAACTTGTCATCCAATTTCGCATCAGTTATACGTTATTAAAGGATTATTTTTAATGAAAATGTAACGAAATATGTTTCGATCTGCCATCTTCAGAGAGGGAGTGGTCAACACATTACAGATTGGCATTTATCTTTTGTGAACAGTTGAATGCTCTGTTTTATAGACATACTTACGCAACAACTTGTGGTCTGTTACGAAACCAGTTATATAATCTTATTCAACCCGTAGATATGAAATCTGTTTTCGACCTAGCGTCATTAGATATCAGTTACACTGGCCACATGTTGAAAACATTTATGTTGGAAAGCGAACTAAACTTCTGACCTTGAATAAGTGAGGTGACCTACCTTGACCTTGCCATGACCCCACCCCACGACAAACCTCGCGCTACTGCCGTCACACACACACAAAAAAACACCGCCACGCCTGGTACTATGCAACCAGCCAGCCACCTCGCCACGAGGACTCTAATGCCAGAGGTGGGACCGCACTGACGGGCTCTTGGCGTTGTGTCTGCGCATTGCACACTGGCTGGGCCGGGCTCGGTGGCTGTCAGATGTTGCCTTGCACCGGGACAAATTATTCATACTGCATGCAGCAAAGTCCTTAAGAAGTTGAAGCAAGCCGGTTAAAGTTTATGGACCCCGAAGGTCCATTACCGTGTTTACAAGAGCTGCATGACTCCAGTCCACACCTGGCACCGATTCTTTCTGATCAATTTTAATATTATCCTCTAATCTACGCCAAAGTCTCCCGAGTGTTACCTTATCATCAGGGTTTCCAGAGGTGTTCTTCACGCCACATTACGGACTGTGACGTAATCATGGTGCTTCGTCGGTAACCATAGCATAAAGGTGCAGTGGACTTACATCACTCTTACTCAAAAAGAATAACAGACCTTACAGTGATATTCAAGGTTATTGTGAGTCAACATTGACCTTTATTTTCAGGGCGTTTCAGAAATTACCTCGGGTCATGGGGGGGGTTATATGTCCATGGGAAAACGCGACAGATAGCCATGGACGGGTCCATAATGTGTTATTCGCTCTCTAACGTGTGAAGAAACACCTACCAAAGCGGTACTAGTGACTCCATTACATCCGGAATAAGATAGCTAAATTACCCTGTAAGGATCCGAAATATGGTACTCAGCAAGTCACGCCCTTTTGTATGACGTCATATTTACTCTCTTCCGCCACCAGAAAATAAATATTTGAGTCCAAAAATAGAAACTGTCTACAACGAGTATTGTTCGTGTCGGTTTTTAGTTGGGGCACGTCCATTTCTGAGGACGACTTTACGTTCACAATTTAAATTCGTATTTCGATGGAACCAGATGGCGTCCTTTGATGCTGTGTCGATCTTATAGTAAATAAACATAGAATTAACAGCAAAAGACACCTAAGACTTGACGTAATGTATGTATTTCTTTCTGTAATTATTTTTTAACTCCGATGTTCAATTCATGATCTGTTAATTCTAACATATCATTTTATATCGATGAAATAGATCATGAATCGAATCCTTCAATTCGAAGGCTGTATAGCGTTTTCCACAATGTTCTCTTACAATTCTGTGTACGTAGATGTTACCAGTGGAATGTGAAAACAAGACCACATTGTGTTAGTCGACAGCGATTCGTAGAACCGTTCTTAAATGTAGGTTGGTTTCTTTTGCAGTGCACATTTGTAGTCTAATGCATTTGGAATGTTTTCTTGAAAATGAAGTCAATAACCAATGACAGTTCGTGATTTATCTGTAGTGTCACTGAAGAAGGCAGTTGGCTGATTGCTCTGTTTATCCGTGCATAAAAATGGGGTAGATATAATACGTTACGTATATTCAAACGTCCTTAATTACAAGCTATTATGATTATACGCGATCGTAGAGTATTATTTATAACATTTGTGTAAGTGGATATACAACGAAAATATAATTTCGATATCATTTTAAGACGGAAAAATGTGTACAGAAGGAATGAATTTAATCTATTGGTGATTTATTCTGTTTTAATCAATCTATTCGTCGTTTTGGTTTATAATGCGTTAAAATCGAGCTTTTTAAGACAAGTGAATTTTACAACCCAAATGTAACACTGAAATTCAAAAAAAGAAAAATGGCCTAATTTTGAAACAAATTTGTTTATACTTTGTACAAAAACAATGATGAACAAAAAATTGGCAATACGACTTAATTGAAGTAACGTTACAGTTAACATGTTTCTGTTTATGATGATGTTTGTTCATTATCGAGTGATAGTTAATGAATAAGTTCACCCAAAATATCGCAATAGACAAATTACTATGTGCTGGAATTTGAAGACATTCTTCAAGTTGTGGTAAAGATGAAATTGAAAGCAGCGTAAAACTTAATATGCCTTGATGATACCTTTCTTCTGGGTTTCGGCGCCATGTTGACTCGTCGGTAGATGCCAGCGTTCTGGAGGAATATACCGTCTCCATTTTCAGGGCTGAAAACCAGTGTTAGGATCTATGACCCTCCACGGCGCCAAAACCAGAACAATTTCATAATTCTCACCGCCGTGAAAATATCAAGTCTCGCTCAATGTCAGTGTTAATTTCTTAAGTCTTCATGCTTCAAGTGGATTTGTATGGTACTGTATAGATTACTTGCAGTGTGTGTATAATCCCCTCCACCTTTAAGAACAAAGATCCTACAGACTACATGATGATTTTGTTCCGGGGTTAATGTACAGAATGTCTTGCCGAAACATTGTTTGATGGCGGGGAGGTAATGTTTACTCCACATCAGAGGATAAAAGTGAAGGAAATTTGCCTGTCAGTGTATAATAGCTGCATTGTACCGGCGCGATTTGCTAATCACTGTGCATCGACGAGAAACCGGAAACAGTTTAGTCACAAACATTGCTGTTACTTGTTTGGCAGTTTCTTGCTTTGAATCTCAGCCCACAAGTCAACTATCTTTAATTAATATATATTATTTAAATCTTGTTCGTCTAATCACAATAAATTCTTATTAAATATTAAAATATTACAATAATTAACATCTTTAATTAGTGAGATATCAGGTTCTCATGACGGTGAGGATGATAATGATTTATTATGGTCTGTCGATGTTAACGTTTCAGAGAAACTTAATGCCTCCATCGTCAGGGTATTATGTTTATCTGAAACGTTGGCTTATACCGACGCGTCTACGTGGCGCCAAAACCCAGAAGATCATAATCGACTTCTTTACTATTGACACAATCTCAAATCCCAACACTTTTTTGTCGATAATGTTTTCGCTACTGCATTAAAAGTCTTGCGTCTTTGAGGTTATGTTACGCTTCGAAGTAATGACGGTGTGCGTAATGTATTGGGATATTGATTGTCAGTGAAGTCAGAAAATGACTGAATTTATAAATAAAACTATTTGAAGATAAAAACTTCAAAAAGAAACACTTGCCAAATGCCATATAATACGTCTATTTAAATTATTTTATCGATATCACATGTTGTTGATTTATATGACGTAACATGTGTAGATATTCTCTTACAAGGCCCAAACTTATAAGAGTATTTTATTTTATAAGAACATGTGATTAAGACGACTAAGTGAGAGACGTTTTAGAAGGATTGTTAAGATAATGGACAATTGATCTTTACCGCTTTGTCCCCAGCGGATAACACAAAACTTCCTAAGTACCAGACGAGACCCTACCACTGCTTTTATCTCCACTCACGAACGTTGCTATGGCAACGCCAAATGGGGACGTTGTAGTGGGGGCGAGAAGCCAAGTAGAAGCAGGTAGGGTGCAAGTGTAAAGCACGCTGTGCGAGGGGTAGAAATAGCCCTTGAGGATTTCGTATTTCTGGATGAAAACCGACTTTTCGCTGAAGGGAAAGTGTGTCCGTCAGAATCACAGGAACACTTAGCTAACTATGGAGAATGGGGAAGTTGATTGTCGCTCAGCAAGACTTTTCTGCAGGCAGAGTATTAATATTGCCATCAACTGGCACTCTAAGAGACTAAGCAGGTCCTTGGAGCAGGGTAGTGATTTTAAAACCCAAAAAAGTACCTGGTGATGACGTTTTTCTGGGTCTTGAGGTCGTGTTGACTCGTAGGTATATGCCAAAGTTTTTGAAAAAACATACTTTCTGAAGAATAAATTTGAAAATTATTTAGGTTAATTCTGAAAATGGAGAAAATGTATGTCGAGTGTTTTAACTGTCACGTACTGCATTTTAGTCACATGATTAGCCGTGTGATTCTCAGAGTAAATAGCGATTATTTCTTTAAGCAGAATTACCTAGTTGATCTCTGTAATGGTGAAGAGTTGTTTCTCTCTCTGCGGTAGGGACTGAATTATCAAATATTATTTATAAGGTAGTATATTTGCGTCATATTGTGAATTAAGTTAATATTTTAATATTTTCCGTCAAATCACAATTTTTATAACGG